AACTTTTATTGGCTATAACATGCTATATTCCTTTGTGGTTTTAAATATTGTGACTGTTGTGGTTTTTCTTTTTAATCTCAATTCCTGTGATATTAAGACCAGCTGGTTAAAGTTATTTATTTTGATACAGAAAGGTGTTATGACTAAACCAGGCTGAATGAGGCCTGTCAGGGAGGCTGCATGCTGCAGTGGGAAGAGCAGGGGCTTTGAAGTCATATCTGAGAGAACAATTATGCTGATGAATGAAAGCTTCCTGTGCCTGTTGGCAGGCTCTAAGTAGTCTCTAAGAAAACTATAAGTCCTTGAATCTTAGTAGAGCTATTAGGAAAATAAGTGCAAATTGTCAGGAGAAGGGATTTGCTCTTCAACATCTCTTGACTCATGGGAAGAAAGAGACTGTTTCAATTTGTAATCCTCCTGAGACCTCAAGATGTTGTCTGTAGTGCTGAAATAAATCGTTCCTTTCTATAAGCATAGAAAATCAGAAGATAGTTTATGCACAGATTGATCCATTTAGTTAGGAGATCAGTCATATAAATAATTTTTTTAAAAAAAGGAAAACAGAGAAAATAGGAAACCTGAGTCCCTGGGACAGAATATTTGGGATTAAAGTGCCTGCAAATAATATGTGCAAACAGAACTGCTTGTTAGGACAACTGTAATGGCCCAAGAGGAAGATATCATGAATTTGACCCTCTCTTTGCCTTATTTTTGTAAAATAAAAGCCATTTTCTTGTCATGTCTCATAGAGTAAAGCAATCTTAGCTTGTGATTGAGAGAAAGCCCTGTCATGCAGGGGTTATAGACACGTAATGGGCATACTAATGTAATTACTTAACATGTGTCAGCAGTATGCCATGACTGTAGAAGTGCATCAGATCCTGGTGTGTACACTGACTGAGAAATGGCAGACATCAAAGGGACTCACTGACTCAGATCCTGTTTATTAAGTTTCTGTGCTTTACTTATTTTTCTCTTATATATCTCTATGCATATATTACATATATTAATTTGTAGGAGTCATTGGGGGTAAGTCAAAGGCCAGCAGGAAACAAACAGAAGGCAGCATGCTATAGGTGAAGAACACAGATGTTGGAATCCATCTGTGTTGAGATTGAAATCATGGTTACCAGCTGTGCAACTTGAGCAAGTTTCTTTAACTCTCTGAACTTAACCCCAGTTTTTAAAAGAGAAACCTATCTAAAGACTGTCTTCCAAGGTGGGAACTAAACGGCCATCTCATGCCATCCTTTCCCTATGCACTCTCTTTTTCTTCATTCCCTGGAAATTCCACGCCTTTTGCAGTCTCAGACCTTTGCACCACTTCCTGTAGTGCTGTTTTCTTGGTTGACTTCTTACCACCCTCGCCCTCAGCTTAGATGGGAACTTTTCTGAACATCTTCTAAATAAAGTATGTCTACTTCATAATTATACATATTTTGTTTCATTATTGATCTTTTACAATTCTTTTCTTTGGGGTGGGGTGGGGGTTGTGTATTTGTTTACTGCTTGTTTCTTGACCACAGATGAACACTAGGTAGCCCAGGAACACAAGCATGTGCATATAAAATATTTATTGGTATCTTTTTTTCTCTTTTGAGTATTTCTTTCAATTTGCATAAAAGCATCTGCCTTTAGTTATTGGAGCACAATTATAATAGCAACTTTAAAATCTGGTTATCAAGTTCATCTTTGTCTTCCTGGAATTTATGTTAATTGTCTGATTTCCTTGTGAGTTGAGATTTTCCTGTCTCTTTATAAGCCAAGTAATTGTGGTTTATATCTTGGATGTCTTGTTATTTTCTTATGAGTCTATACTTCTTGTTTACATTTTAAGAAGAATTAAGTTATTGTTTTAACAACTAACCTTGGTTAGGTTCAGCCTACAAGGTCTAGTTCCTACTTTGTGGATTTTAGTTCCAATGTCCATTTTTAGAAACTCATTGCTATACTAAGACATGGTCTTCATACACACCACCCAGTGGCCACTCTGGACTGAGTGCTGGTCTCCTGTAGCTTAGTGTTTAATTCCTAAGGTATGCTATTTAGGGTCAGCTCTATACAGCATTTTATGGGGTTACACTTCTAAGCTCCCACTTTTAGGTCCTCTCCTAACACTTTCTAGCTCTCTGACCAACAGCTAGGACTCCAGTTCCCCTAGACTGGCCTCTAATCCTGCAATTACATGTAGCAGTGAGGGGGACAGACAGTGGGAAGGGCATGGGAAGGGAATGCATCCTGCACTTTTTTTTTTTTGTACTGGGTTTAAACTCAGGGGCACTAAACCATGGAGCCACAGCCACAACCCTATTTTGTATTTTAATTAGAGACAGGACCTCACTGAGTTGCTTAGCACCTTGTTGTTGCTGAGGCTGGCTTTGAACTCATAGTCCTCCTTCCTCAGCAGCTGGAGTCACTCAGGTAACAAGAGTGCACCACTGTGCCTGCACTCTTGAGACCACAGCCACGTGGACCAGTGTGGAGGTCATCTTCCTTGGAACTGTAGGTGCCTGTGCAGCAGCCACCACTGACTGACTTGGGTGTGGGCTGGGACAGAATATACAGAAGGTTTTAAAATCACAGGACTTTCTTCATTCTTCTGGACATATAAGAGCCCCCTTTCTCTGACCAAAAGGAGAAGGCTTTTCTTGGTGCCCTTTATTTGCACTCAAGTAGTGCATCTCTTTGGATCAAAGCTGGGTGATACCAGATGAGAGAGAGAGAGAGAAAAAAAAAACCTACAAAATCAAACAGAAACCCTGTTGCTAGTTTACTGTTCAGAGACATGCTGTCAGAGTATAGTCCATTGTATTTGGTGGAAAAATTTGTGTTGAGTATGGATACACTATCTTGCTAAGAAATGAACCTCTTTCATCTTGAAAAGATATAAAGTATGCATTTCATGTTGTACTTTCGTGCTCGCAAATACTGAGAAGTAGTCATTCCCACCCCCACCCCCCCGGGTTTTCATTTTGGTATTTGGTACATTTTTTTTCTTGGGTTGTCATTTTGGTATTTGGTACCTTACACACAGGTGCCAACATAGAAAGAGTATGATGGGAAGGGAAAAGAGGTAGGTTGGGAAATTTACTGTTTGGAAAACCTTGAAGGAAATTTTTATGCAAGTGTTTTTATGCATATATATTTTCCTTTCAGCTTTGCTCTCTCCTGTTGCTCCTGCCACCCTGCTCATGTCCCTCTCCCACATATGGCCTCCCCAGGGAATCTTCCTGCTGACCAACAGTAGAAGCAGTTGATAAAGCTCTGTTGGTGGTGTAGGCAGCAGTTCTCAAACTGTGCTTTCCCAAATACCTAAAGACAGAAAGGATTGGGGTTCAAGAGGTGTGGAGCTTGGCATTTTTTATATATTCCCATTTCAAAAATTGTGTGAGATTTTCATTTTGTTTTCTCATTTTTGCATAATAATATGTCTCTCTAAATTATATGGAATGTACAACTGTGGTGCAGGAAGGTCAGGGAGGTCATGCATTAGCAGAAAAAAGTGGTTTGCAGAAACTCTCTGACTTACTGCTCAGTTTTCACTGTGAATCTGGAACTGCTCAAAAGATAAAATTCATTTATTTAAAAATAGTCTGACCCCAAAACAAAGTAACTTTGACTTTTTAGAAGATGAGTAGCTTTGAGATTCTCCCTGGTACAATGCTATGTATTAGAATTTGAATAAAAATGTAAGAGTTGGTAGTTAGAGAGTTGATCCAAGTGGAAAACCACCATGGTAGACTTTCATCTGCCCAAGGAAGCCTCTCACATAGCACCTATGACTCCACTGTACAGCACCAATGCATATGCTTTTCATAGACTGCTTCTTGAAGGAGTGGATTCCCACTAATCTGGTATGGTTTGGGTATAGCTACATTATGGTAGGCACAATGCCATATTTTCTTTTCAACAGTGAGAATCAAGTTGCTTTAATTCCCATGTGGTTTGTGTCAGTGTGTTTCCTAATCTCTTCTGGGGTCACCATTCAGTTTTTTCCATTTTGCTTCTTATGTAACCACATTCCTCAGAACCAGACATGTATGTGGAAGCACATGTTCTCTGTGTTCTGGGGTGGATGGAATATTGGTAGGGCAAGGGCACAGAACTCATGCTGAAACTACATGATTTCTTGGAGCATGTTCAGGAAATTCACTGATTTTATTCTTTGTATGACATTACACACTTCCCATGCCACATCCACAGAAGGAGATCATGCCATATGGAAAGTTCAGAACTGTGGCTTGAGGAGATACAGAGTTCTTTCATTGTTTATTTTTAAAGATCAGAAGAGAAACTCCAGATAAGGTAGGCACACTTTATAATCTACATGAAACATAACATTGGGAATCTCTCCAGTGCTAGAAAGTAACACCTACTTAGTTATTAACTCGTGGTTGGCATTTCATCTTTAATTTCTTATCAAATTTCTAATTTCTTTTCATAATATTATTGATTCTTCTCATAAATGTGTCAAGTAATACTTTTGAGATGATTTGTTTAAAACTAATTTTGGGAAAATAAATAGCTAATATGATACGAAACAATGAGAACTAAGAACAGATTTTCTTTAGAAATTGATTCTGAATGTATCAAAAGCCAACAATGTAGAGAAAAAACAATTTGCAGCTGCAGATTTGGATAAAATATTGTGTTTAGGTTATTTGGTCCTCTGACATTGGGTTCCAAACTAAATAACAGTGTTTTCTAAAATAGCCCTCAATCTCTTACATGTGCATTCAGCATAAAACAGGGCAGTAACAACAACAACAAAATAATAGGAAAAGGAGGAATCATTAATCCCAGCTGAACAGGTAAAACACAAAACACATTGCCACCAGAAGAATATGTTTTCTTCTGATTCTCAAGGTTTTATTTTATTGCACTTTAAATAAAGGGTCAGGGCCGCCCCCGAGGCCGCGCTCGCCGCCCCGGCCGCCATGCGGCGCTGAGGCCAGCTATGCGCGGCTCCGCGGAGGGCGGCGGTGCTCGGCGCCCTGACGGCCCCGCCGCCGCCCCGCGCCCGGCCCCGGGCCGGCCCCGCCGCCATGGCCAGTGACAGCGGCGGGCCCGGAGGGCCGAGCGCGAGCGAGCGAGACCGGCAGTACTGCGAGCTGTGCGGGAAGATGGAGAACCTGCTGCGCTGCGGCCGCTGCCGCAGCTCCTTTTACTGCTGCAAGGAGCACCAGCGCCAGGACTGGAAGAAGCACAAGCTCGTGTGCCAGGGCGGCGACCCCATCGGCCCCGCTGCTGCCCCGCGCGCGCAGCCCGGCCCCGCGCCGCCCGCCGCCGCGCCTCCGACGCGGGCCGGGGCCGCCGCCGGGAACGCCGGGGCGCGGGCCGGGAAGGCGGCGGGGCAGCGCCGGTGCAGCGCCGAGGCCGCGCGCGCGCCGGCCCCCGGGGACGCGGCCCAGGCCCGGGGCCCCCGCGGCGCGGCTGAGCGTGGCCAGGAGGAGCCGCCCGCTCGGCGGTCGCCGTGTCCTGAGCGGGCCAGCCTGTGCCCAGCGGGCAGCTCGCCCGGAGAGGCGCTGAGCCCCGGCGGCGGCCTGCGGCCCAACGGGCAGACCAAGCCGCTGCCCGCGCTGAAGCTGGCGCTGGAGTACATCGTGCCGTGCATGAACAAGCACGGCATCTGCGTGGTGGACGACTTCCTGGGCAGGGAGACTGGGCAGCTGATAGGCGACGAGGTGCGCGCACTGCACGACACCGGCAAGTTCACGGACGGGCAGCTGGTCAGCCAGAAGAGCGACTCGTCCAAGGACATCCGGGGTGACAAAATCACCTGAATCGAGGGCAAGGAGGCCGGCTGCGAGACCATCGGGCTGCTCATGAGCAGCATGGACGACCTGATCCGCCACTGCAACGGCAAGCTGGGCAACTACAAGATCAATGGCCGGACGAAAGCCATGGTTGCTTGTTACCCCGGCAACGGGACAGGTTACGTGCGGCACGTTGATAACCCAAACGGAGATGGAAGATGTGTGACGTGCATATACTATCTGAATAAAGACTGGGACGCCAAGGTAAGTGGAGGGATACTTCGAATTTTCCCAGAAGGCAAAGCCCAGTTTGCTGACATTGAACCCAAATTTGATAGACTGCTGTTTTTCTGGTCTGACCGTCGTAACCCTCATGAAGTACAACCAGCATATGCTACAAGGTACGCAATAACTGTTTGGTATTTTGATGCAGATGAGCGAGCTCGAGCTAAAGTAAAATATCTAACAGGTGAAAAGGGCGTGCGGGTTGAGCTCAACAAGCCCTCCGACCCCGTAGGCAAGGATGTCTAGGCCGCCCTTGACCAGCAGCACCCTTGTCACCACGCGGCTTTGATGAGTGGAAGGGGAGGACCGCAGACAAGCAGCGGACCGCCTGAGGACAAGCAGCTCCCCTGAGCTTCGTGGGGCAGGAGCCTTTGCTGATCTGAACTCACGCCTGCGGCTGCCGCCATAGGGAGCACTCCAAGACTGTCGCTTCCCCACCTGACGTGAACAAGTGCCCTACGTGGAATTTTCATTCTTGTATTTTGCCAGATCTATCATCTAGCTGAGTTCATTTCATCTTTCTCTTTTTTATATCAAGTTTGATTTTGGGGTAATTTTTGTATGATTAGGTACAATTTATCAAAACTGAAATGAGAAAAAAATTACAGTATTATTCCTCAAAATAACATCAATCTATTTTTGTAAACCTCTTCGTACTATTAAATTTTGCCCTAAAAGGCCTCTCACGATAATTGTCGAGTGACTGAGAGTCGGTTTCTTTGGGCTGGAAACAAGGGAAGGAGCACTGTAGTTGCAGCCGGAAGCCCAGACTGCCTTCTTGTCTGATCTGAACTCTGAGACCCTGCTGTGGCGCGTCCGTCGTCTCTGTCCATGTGAAACCTGACCGTGAAGCGGTTGCCAGTGACTACCAAGTAACCTTGAGTCCCCGTCTTACCAGAAAAAGTGCACAATAGGAAGGGTTTATCTTTTCACTTATTTTTTTTTTCAGAAACAAAAGTGACTAGCACTAAAGGACGTGAGGGTGTCCCGAGCTTCAGGTTCCCAAAATAAAGGGCTCTCTTCTGCTCTCAGGCGTGTCCTGTAATCCTAGGTGACGTAATCCCATTTCTTCCTGGGCTCTCCTCAAATTGACTGTCCTTCTAAATTTATTGTTGCATCTCTCCCTGGCACTAGGGCTCATCTGACCTGCAGATGAGAACCTGGTTCTACTGAAGAGCACCAGGGGGGATAAGGATGCATCCAGGTGGACAGGTGTGGCTGCAGACTCCATCCACATTCCCCAAATGTCTCTGCCTCCTTACCAGCCCTGAAAGATGTAGGCTTAGCTTAGAAAAGCAGAGAACACAAAATCAGATATTTTTACGTTTCATGGGTTTTCTTTTTTTACTTTTTAGAAAAGAGGGACTATTACAAGATCACACAGGCTTCCCGAACCTATTAAAGACTGAGTTGGGATGGGTGTCATAGGCGTCATTTCCCTGGTCTTGAGCAAAGCCCAAAGGATGGTATCCCTATTTTGCATGAATTAGGTGTAAGACCTTGCACCCTTGGGTTTTCTATCTCTGTCCTTGATCTTCTTTGCCAAAATACAAGTATACAGAAATATTTCTGTACATTTCAACCTATGACAATTTCAGCATCTGTATAGTTTGTATTCAATTAGAGACCTTTTCTATGGAAAGCTCAGTAATTTTTATTAAAAGATTGCTATTGTTCATGTAAAACATGAAAAAAGTTGAGAGAAACTGACAGTGTAAACTTGGGGGACCAGATGCTCAGAGCTGTGACCTCACGCAGCAGGACTCGCAGGAGAAAGGGTGGTGCTTTCCTCTCCCAGGCTCAGTCCTTTCCCGCCCTCTCCTCTACTCCAGATGATCAACGGCGCCTCTCCAGCAAGTGCCCATGCCGGCCTGGGTGTTCGAGACTTGGCATCCAGCCTGCAGCGCCCTGCTCCACCTCCAGCCCGGCTCACAAGCACTGTTATGCAGCGTTGGCAGGAACTGCTCTGTGTTGGTGGAAGGCTTGTTGGATCCTCAAGACGTACAGCAATAGCCTTTTAATTTGGGAGCGCTGTTGTCCTTCAGATGGCTACCTCTGCAGATGTACAAAGTATCAGATTCTACTGTCTATGGGTTGTGCTTGCCAGACAGGTCTTAAATTGTATATTTTTTGGAGAGGTTTATATACTTTCTTGGTGATACATTGTGAAAAGATCAAGAAATCAGCATAGCCATTTCTTTAATATCCATTTAAAATCTATTCATTTCATGTTAGTGGGACTGTTAACTTGTCACCAAGTAGGACTCTATTTAAAACTCTTTGTGGCCTATATGTGTTAATTCTGGTTAAAGATAAAGCTTCATAATGCTGTTTTTTCAACACATTAACCAGCTGTAAAACACAGACCTTTAGCAATAGCAGGCAAAGAATTTCAGGATAGACTACAAAGTCATGTAATTTGAAAAGCAGTGTTTCATTATGAAAGAACGCTGGAGTTGCTTGTAAAGCTAATCTAATTAAAAAGATGTATAAATGTTCTTGAAAAAAAAATAAAGGGTCAACAAATTGAAGCAAGAAAAAACTCACTTGAAAATATCAGAAAATAAAAGAAGCATAGCAAACATTGTATTGTAGCTAGCAAGCAAGCAGGCAAGGCTTGCCTAAAAAGCTTGCTGGTGGCTCCTTTTGTTTCCCTTTGATTTATAGCCTCATGCCTTTAATCTAATTACATTGAACTGAGTTACAAGTACAGTTGCCTGTTTGATTAAAAATATAATACATTCATATGAAAGGTTAATGAAATGAATTTTCCCTCCATTCAATTCATTCAAAATTGTCCTACAATCAGTGGTTACTATTGGAATAGAGATTAAATATTCACATTCATAATTTTTTTGTGTTGTGACTGATTTTCCTTCATTTCTGCCTCCATAGGTTAAATTTTATAAGTATAAGTATTCCCACACAGAAAGCTGGGTTAGTGTTTAATTGCACACCATTAGTTCTTTTATCAAAGAGGTAGGGTGGAATAGTGGAAGGAGAGAAGATTTCCAGCAGGATTGTGTCCCTTCATAGCTGTATGATTTGAGGCACATTTCATAACTTTCTCTTTTGCAATGGTCATCATAAGAACTTCTTGCAGGGTGGTATAAGGGTCATTGATAAACTATGGAAAGAACCCAGCACTATGTCTGCCTAGAGTAGCTGTTCAATAAACTACAACATAGAAAGGCTTGGTAAAATAAATAAGTACATTTATGGAGTAAAACAGGATAACTTATACTGATATTACTTATATGGCAGTACTGGGTTCCTTTGGATGCTAAAATTTGTGTCAGGTTTGGATCTCAGAAAATCCTGAAATAATTCTAATAATAAGTGTAGCAGGATAAAGTTTCTGAAAGGAAGGGGAGTTTCATATTTCTACAGATAGATTTGTGGTCTTACACTTTCCACCAGCCCTTTCCTTTTTTTCTGCCCAGGCCAAAGCACCTTATTTAACTTGAGTTTAATGTTTGTTTCAAATAGTGAACCTACTAGGTCACTGAAAACTTTTCAATCAACAGAGTGTAAACATTTATGAAAGTTTTGCTTCAAATGTATTATGTACTTTACAGTTTTTTGAAACAGATGATGACATATGTACATGAACTATATCCTCAGTGATTTATGGTGATTGGTATGATCATTAATTTTTGGTGCCTCATTTCATCAGCCTATGGTTCATTTTAGAAAATATGATTGGTAATGTGCAAACTGGGAAGCAGATGAGCCATCTGACCAAATAGTGAATGCCCAATTGCAAGTGACACTGTTAGCAAGACACTAGGCACAGCTGTGTATTTGTGAAGTGCTAGTTTCATGTCTTCCATTTTACATCAGTTAGCAGCCATCATCACAACCCACTGAGTTCATGTTAGCATCCTTTCTGTATGTGGAAATGAAACATTAGATTTGGTGCGGTCAAGTGACCTGGTAAGAGGTGTGCAGCTATGGAGAGACTAGGGTAGGCTCCCCTTCAGCCTTAGATGTTTTTCCTCTTTAACCACAGCTGTCTTGGTACTAATGTGTGTGGGTCCAGATGAGATGTTCTGCAGTTACCTGTTCAGCTTCTTCCCATTTAGATATGTGTTCATAGGCTTATTGTTACAGGAAGACCGAACTCTCCACTGCACTATCAAATACAGTAGCTACTGGCCACAGTGGCTCTTTAATTTATGTAATCAAAATAAAACTTAAAATTTAGTTTCTTAGTCACATCAGTCAAATTTCTAGTGCTCACTGGCTACAGGAGATCAGATATGCCTATAATATGTAAAAATAATAACTTTCATCATAGCTAGTATGTGTATATGTACAGTTTGCTCATGATTGGCATCTGTTTCATGTAATACAGTCTTTTATTTATCCACACACACTGCATTCCTGCATAAGTATATGAAAGTCAACTACGATATGCTGAAAATATCAAATGGAAGACATGTGTTCAGCAAGTGAGAAGTGTTAATCCCAGACAACTAAAATTATAATCTCAAATCATACCTTTCTTTTTTAAAATCATTTTTCACCTATTCTCTAATTTTATCTTTTCCATCACAATTAAGCTTCATTGTTTGTGTACATACAATGATTCCAAAGGTTTTTTTGGTTTTGACATTCTATAATTTTTCTCATTTTTGACCCCACTTGTGTTAAATTACAGATTAATCCTGTCACTTTTCAAAAACTAGAAGCAGCATTTCTATTCATTTTAAAAATAAGATAATAGGAAATTTAATAAAGAGTTATGTGATTTAAAAACATTATCAGAAAAACTGATGATACTGTGGAAAGTTTAGGCTGACTACAGGTATACCATCGTGTTCTAGTTAGAGGTAATTATTCTCTGGGAAACATTTAAAAAGTTGAAATTCATTCTGTAAAATGCAGGTTGGGAATATTTATGTATAACATCTAAAATTACAGATTAAATTCAAATCAAAAGGCAAATAATTTGCAAAAGCTGGCACTAAATTAGCAGATTATACATTGAATATTTAATACACACTCTTAACCCTCTCTCTCTCTCTCTCTCTCTCTCTCTCTCACTCTCTCTCTCTCTCTCTCTGTGTGTGTGTGTGTACACGATCTCACATTGTATGTATAGTTACATATTTAGTCTGCCCATGTCCCTGTGGGTAGAGTAGTTTTATTTATTATTCATTGGACCAGAGGACAGTAGATTTTTAGATTATAGCTGGGTTTAGAGACATTCTGGAATGGAGTGTTGGACAAGAAGACTTAAAGATCTTGCGTTATTTTCAGGGTACTGGTAAGGTTCCGAGTTTGCAATTGTAAATGATTTGTCTTTGAGTGTTTTTGCTGCAACCCTGAGGACATCCACTTAATAAAAACCAAATGCTAATAATACAACTTTAACAGGCTATAAATACTTTAGTCATCATTACCTTTTTGTTACTGCTGAAATATATTGCAGCAACCATTACTCTTAGTTAGAATTTACTGCAGCTGGTAGTCAAGACATTTATAGGTTTCATACTTTTTCCCACTAGACTATGAGGGTGTGAGTCCTGCCTTTTGTTTCTTTGTCCTGTGTGTTAGAGTGCCTGACATGGGAGATTTTAGGGAATGGCAATTGAAGGGAGGAAGAAAGCAATGGAAAATTATTCTCATAATCCAGTTGCCTTTTTTTATTTGTAAGATCACTAGTGGCATGCATGGAATAATCACT